TGGCGGGCAGCGCGCACGGAGGGATGGCTGGAGCAGCCTCACGGGATGCCCCGCGGCCGTGCCCTGGGCTCCTGGAGACCCCCGAGCAGCAGCACTGACCCTTCCCTGGGTGCCTGCCCGGCCCTGCCCTGCTCTGCCGGGGAGGCCCTGGGGTGAGCCCTGGCAGCGGGTCCTCACGCTGCATCAGGACCCAAAAAACCACAAGCTGGGGCTTGCAGCATCCATATCGCGCAGGGGGTTAGAGGTGTGGGGATTACCCTTACCGCGAGATGGGCTGAAACGCCCGAGGCTTTATGGTGATGCGAGTGGGAAATGAGTTGGAAAAAGCTTTTCCCTGTGTGGCAGTAAAAGCCTCAGGGCTGAACCCGCAGACCCGTCGTGCGGGTATATCTGCCTTGCGGGTGGGAGACGGTGCTGGGAGCACTGCTGGGCTCAGCGCTTTTGTGCCACAGGGGAAGCGGGGAGCAAAGCCCGGGTCCCGCCGGCGAGGTGATGGCTGCGAGGGTCCCTCGCCTCCTCCGCCAGCCCCGCGTCCGGTGGGATGGTGGCGGATGATGCTCCAGGGCTGGTGGATCGCGCTCTCTGCCTGGCAGCTCATCAAAACCACCCCGGGGCAGGCCGGTGACCTCGTTCTGTGTCCCAGGTTGTTTCCCCACCGGCGTCCAACACGGCTTCTGCAGAATCTTTTACTGGTTTCCAAGAAAGAAAAAATAAATAAAAAGCCACTACTGCCCCAGCGAGAGGAGCCCTGCAGGCCAGCGGCTGCCCAATGGAAAAGCCATGGCTAACCCTTCCCGATGGCCTGGTAGCCCCCTTCCTCCTTGGAGGTGCACCAGGACGGGGCTGGCACCGTTCGCATCCGTGTCTCCAGGAACGGGCGTCTCCAGCCGGTGCTGCTCTTCCCCGTCCCGCTTCCCCCTGTGCCGGTCCGCGAGGTGGGGACGGAGCAAGGGACGCCCTCCACCACCAGCCCCACGCCAGGGGCATCCCCACCGTGGTCCCGCCTCGCCCATCCCTGCGGGAGCCAGGCAGCTCCCGCAGCTCCCCAGGGCACAGCTCAGCTCTTCGCCACTGCACTCGGGCGGTTTTAAGCCACCTTCTCGCCGGCCAAAGCGGGACCGTGCCCATGGGAAGAGGCATCGGAGGGAGACGGCCAGGCTCCAGCCTCGCAACCCAACTTTCCCACAAGCACTGTTTTCTCCCTTTCTTTTTGGCCCCAAGCGCTGCTCTCCTCCCCCTCTATTTTTAATCCTCTCTTCTTGGAAATTATAGATCAGAAGGGAGAAATGAAAGATGGAGACACAGGCACCCGCTAATAGGCGCTAAGCACATATTGACACAAGGCGTAATCAATCTGGAAGCTAAAAAGAGCTGAACCAGCATGGGCCAGCCAGCCAAAACCCACAAAACCTCTTCAGGAAGTTTAAACGGGCCCTACCTGCGGCTGGGAGCGGGTTTATCCCTGCCTCCAACAGCCCTCTCTCGGGGAAAATATCAAACGAGCTGTGAAGGGAAAATAAAGAGGGTAAATAAGCAGATCCCTTCCCAACGTGGCTGCGGTGCAGGGAAGAGCTAGACCCGTCTCCACCTTTAAGCCTCCTTGAGGGCATCTCCTCCAGACGTGTCCCACCGCCGCCTGCGGCAGGGAATGCTCGGACCCCGCGGCACGGCCGGTCCCTCCAGCGTCACCGTGAGCCCGTCCTGCGCGCTGGGACCTCACGCCCGCCGGTGTACCG